GTCATGTCAGAGAAGCTGACAGTCTGCAGCTCTGGCCATCTCTGTACTCACTTTTTTTGTTCAGGTTTTTCCACTAGTTGGTGCCTAATCCACTTCTGTATAGTTCTTTTCAAAGCTCAGGGCTCCAGGATTATCTTCTGTATCTCTGTCAATTGGTTTCTCTTTTCTTTGTTGAAGAGGATCTGTGTTGCTTGTCTGCCTATATTTCTCCATCTTACCAGAAGTACTTCATCAAAATCTTGATGGAAATCTAGAATAGGCTGTGATCAAGGAAAAGAGACCTAGGATACTCCTATAACTCTATTATCTCATGATGTCACTGGTTCATCTAACATTGGGAGTGATTTTGTCTCATTAATTTATCACTCAGCTTCTGCTCTTGTCCCTAAAGTATTGATGATGTATTTTCAAGGCATATATTTCTGCTTGGATTATACCTTCTTCTTTATACTTATATCCTAGGAACTCACATTTAGTCCCATGGCTTAAAATGCATCAAAATGCTAATACAAATTTATATCTCAAGCTTGGACTTCTGCCCTGATCTCAGATTTATGAATCAAACTACCTACATGACATTTCCATCTGGGAGTCTAACATTCACCTCCACTGACACAGCCAAAAACAAAGATTTGTTTCCTACTCGCCTCAATCTACACCTACTCTAAAATTTCCCATCTTGCAAATGATATCTTTGCTCACGTGTTGTACAAGCCTAAATTCTTGAGTCATCCTTTGCTCCTTTTTTCCTCCTATTCACATAATCAAACAGCAAAAACTGTGGGCTCTTCCTTTGAATACATGCAATACTTGGCCACCTCTCAAAAATTCTACTGCTACTGTCCTGGGCCCAGTCACTATCATCTCTCCAGACTATTAGAATAACTTTCATATGGCTTCACACTTGCTTCCCAAGGTCTATTCTCCACACAGCAAGAAGAAAGATCTTCTTCAAACTGATTTCTACTTTGTTACCTTCTGCTCAAGATCCCTAGTGACTTTGCATCTCAGAGTACAACCATAGCCTCCAAAGCCCTAAATTAAATTGCTCCTTCTCCTCAGCCATCATCTTCTATTTTTTTTTAATTTTTTTGCTGACTACTCTTGCCTTTCCTCACTCTGTCTCTTCTCCAGCCACTATGGCCTCCTTGCAATGTCTTCCCCCAGCTCAGGGCTTCAGCTGGCCCCTTCTCTTGAAATACTCCCTTTTGCTTCCCTTGTGCATAGCTCATTCCCTCACTTCCTTGAGTCTTCTGTTCAAATGCACCACATCATAGTGGCTGTTCTGGTTACCTAACCAGGCCCCAATTCTGTTCTGGTTACGTAATGGTGCTCCGACAAGAATATACCACCAATGGAATGGCCTTATCAAACAGGAGTTTATTCTTACAATTTGGAGGCTTTAAGTCCAAGTTCAAAGTGCCAGGCTCTAGGGGCTGGGTGAAAGCTCCTCAACCTTGGGGTCCAGCTCTGCCTCCTGCTCCTGGCCCACTGGAGCTAGAGGCGTTTCTTCACTCAGATAGCTGCTGGCTGCTGA